CCCTGCGGCTCTTGGAGCCCCTGGGGTCAGGACTCGCCCCTCGGGGTCTCTCAAGGCTCCATCCCCCCCCTCCTCAGCCCAGTTCTCCCTTGCAGGTGACGCCGCACAAGGACAGGGCTGGGGACATCCAAAGCCAGGTAAGAGAGGGCCGGGCTGTGCAGGGCCTGGGGGTGCCTCGGGCCAGGGGCCACCGGGATCCCCGTGCTGATGCATTTTCCCTGCAGCTGTGATGTCGGAGAGCGTGGCCGAGGCGCCGGGAGCCGGGAGCCCAGCAGCGCTGGGTGAGACCAGCCATGAGCTGCTGCAGCGCCTGCGGGAGCTGGAGGTATGCAGGAATGGCACCGCCAGGACACAGGACCACTGGGCACTCTTGGCTGGTGCCACCAGGCAGCCGTGGCCACTGAAGCCATGGCCATGGCCACCACTCAGCCAGTGCCAAAAGCCAGCCGTGGCCAGTGCCGTGGAGCCCAGTCTGGTGATGGGTCACACTTCCCAGCTTCCCATGGCCCTTGTGTGCCACTGCTGCTGGGGCAGCCCCATCCTGCCATGTGAGGGCCCTGAGTCCCACCAGGAGACAGAGGATCCGCTTGGTGCCGTGGGAATGTGTCCCCTGAGCTCTCCCTGCTCTGTTCTAGGCAGAGAACTCAGCCCTGGCCCAGGCCAATGAGAACCAGCGGGAGACGTACGAGCGCTGCCTGGACGAGGTACGGGAGAACAGCCGCACACGTGTGCACACGTGTGTGCTGGGGCACGAGGCTGTGTGTGCCCTGTGCCCCACCCCACACCTCCCCTCTCCTCCCCAGGTTGCCAACCATGTGGTGCAGGCGCTGCTCAACCAGAAGGTGGGTGTTGGGAGGGCAGGACGGTGCCAGGGGGCTGGGAGGATGCAGGGGGGCTCCAGGGTCCTGGCTGACCCCCCACACCCCGGCCAGGACCTGCGTGAGGAGTGCATCAAGCTGAAGAAACGTGTCTTCGAGCTGGAGCGGCAGAACCAGGTGCTGAGCGACCTGTTCCAGCAGAAGCTGCAGCTCTCCACTGGGTCCCTCCCTCAGGTGTGCCTGGGGCTGCATCTGGGCTGGGGGGCGGGCATGGGGCAGAGCCCCCCTTAAAGCTTAACCCAGCACCTCTCTCCTCCCCAGCTGCCGCTGCACCCCGTGCCAGTACCCCCAGATGTCCCAGTCACCCCCCAGCCAGGCTCTGCTGAGCAACAGCCGCCCCCGCTGCTCCCTGGCCTCTGTCTGTCCCTGCCCGAGGTGGGTACCGCTGTTCCCAACCCCTTCCTGTCCTAGTGTCCCCCTCTCTGGGCTGTGTCACCCCCTGCCCCATTGTCTTTTCCCAGTGTGTGGTGTCACCAGGCCTGTGTGTGTGGTGTCACAGGCCCACAGTGTCCTGTCCTGTCCCCCTCCCTGGATCTCTGGTGTCCCCATCCGTGTGCCTATGGCATCACACTTTCAGCAGGGTCTCTGTCCCTGAGGTCCCTGTGGTGTCACCTCTCCAGTCCATGGTGTCCACCTCCCCAAGCCCCTCCATCTGTGATGTCTCTGGCTCCAAAGCCCATTGCCCCAGATGTCCCTGTCCCCACTGTGTCCCCATCCCAAAGCCTATTGTGTCCTTCTCTGTGTTTCCAGAGTGTCCCCCTCTGGTACCAGGGGGCTCAGTGCCAGGTGCTCACAGGGTGACGGTGCCCGGTCCCCACAGGTGCTGCCACCGGTGCCATCGGGCAGCCCTGGCCTCAGCCCTGGTGCCCCCCCCCTGGATGCCCTGTCCCCCTTCTTCAAAAAGAAAGCCCAAATCCTGGAGGTGCTGCGCAAGCTGGAGGAGACAGACCCGCTGTTGGGGCCCCCTCCGGCCTCCCCCGGCTCCCCCGAGCCCTGCGCAGCCCTGGGCTGGCCCCCTTGCCCGCTGCGGGG